CCCCAAAACCCCAAAACCCCAAAACCCCAAAACCCCTGTTGATTAGAATGCAAGCAACATGATAAGATGAATATTATTCCAAAATTATCTTTAAATTCACAAATATCACTTATCTTAATCGCTGACTAATCAATATGATTGTCATTATACAGCTTCTTAGTTTAGCTTTACTAAAAGCAGATTTGTCTTTTCTCTCAAGGCTAGTTCTTTTTCTTGAAGCACCTTTAACTCTGCGTTTAAGGATATCTCTTTTTTAGCCATTTCAATTAGGGGGTTCTCTAGAATGTCTCTAAGTTTATTTTGAATATATTCCTCATAATCTATCTGCACTTTTACTTCCTCCTGCTAATTGTTGTTAGCTACTTAACTTGCAGTAAGATCTGCTCTGCTTATGTTGTCAGATGAGTCTGATCTGTTGAATACATCATCATCTATCAAAGATTCATTTGGATTTTTGTTAGTATTTTATGAGGCAGTTAATGACTCCATTATTTAAGTATTTGATTTTGTAATTTCTTAATTATAATAAGTTCTCACTTCAAATAACAATTATTAATATTATCAAATTTAAAAATGCGACACTAGCCCTAAACTTTAAGTCGAATAAATGACAATTATAATTTTAACAGCCTTAATGATGGTGGTGGAGGAGGGGGAGGAAACAGTTACCCTTAAGATCTGAGCATTAAGACTCAACTCTAAGATTTCTGGAACTAGGTCGGTCTCTTTACTCGAATTTGCTTCTTAATCAATGTTATCTCATACTTTATCCAGATTATGAGTAAAACTAAACTTGAAGATTTAGCAATATGCTTGGCACCTCTCTAGGATTAATTTTAGTTTTATAGAATATTCACTAGTGAATTTTCTCATGGGAATTATCCACATATCATCTTTAATATGTGTGGTCTATTGGTATTTGGAGTTGAGGTAGAAAAAACCTATGGTACAGCTTATTATGGCATGATTAATTTCTGGTTAATGATGCTCAGTAATATTGCTAACATGCTTTTTACAGCACTAATGGTTTATCTTGTCCCTGCTGAATACAGAGGCGGCAAAGAAAATTTCTTCTATTGTGGAGTTGGATACTCTAACATATTATTCGGATTGTCTATAATATTTGCTTACAAAGGAAATTAGCAATAGAACTTTTTCGGATTATGCAAGTTTGAGAAGAAGTATGTACCCTGGTTTTACATGATTCTAATCTTCTTCACGATTCCCAACTCCTCATTTATTGGACATTTCTTGGGTATTGTATCTGGTCTTATGATTAAATTTGGCGGATTGTATGTATTATTCCCAGATTATGAATGGATAGCTTCATTTGATGGTTCTTTCGAGCATTACCTAAGAGGACTAAGATATTTAAAGGCAACAGATGAAATTACATAAGATTTTGATAGCTACATGTGGACATCTATGTTGAGGAAAATAAGAATGGCCTTTCTAAAAATCAGACATAAGTTACTTGGCTATGAATATGTAAGACCTATGCCAGATCCTGTCATATGCCCAGATTCTATAGAATTAGTCACTCGTTGATACTCAAAATATAAATACCTCTAACATATATATGATTACTTTAAGAGGTTTTAATTCTCTTTATAATATCTTGAGGGGTTTTGGGGTTTTGGGGTTTTGGGGTTTTGGGG